ATATCATGAAGCTCTAATGAGAAGTCGTGACCTGTGTGGTCAACCAGCTGCAAGTGAAGTGGATGCTAACTGAACACCTTGGGTGACAGTCGTGCTATGTTGCGAATTGACAGAAGTTTGAAATTATGAACCAGTGGAAACCAACCTAGTGGCTGAATGGTTAACGCGTTCGCCGTGAAACCTGAAGGTCATGAGGTTGATCTGTAGTTGGGTCGTGGGTGCTGAAGAGTACTGCTGAGGAGTCCCATACTAGGATGAAACAGCTGTCCATTGCTTCCAGATTTCCAATGGTTCCCCAACTGATATCAGTCCATGATGAATACTACTTCTAAATTTACAAAAAATCATTAGCAATGGATTAAATATATTTCGAGGTGAATTGTCTGTTGTTAATTTTTCATCATCTAGTGATTGTATACTTTAATCTACATGAATAGTTAGAAAACATGTACTGAACTAATGAAACCACTCATCTCCAGTAAGTTGCTGAAGTCATCGAGGGCAACTACTGTTCAGCGTTTGAATATAGATTAGATTAATTAGCGATCCACTGACTAAGGTAAATTGTTTCCAACCACTCATTCATATACATCATGCATTCATTCTGTTCAGATTTTAAATTCTACTTGAAAACTTGAACGGAATCATAGTTTGTGCTTTGTACATTTTTGATTTATGAAAGAAATCACTGTGATATTTTAATGACCAACTGTTGTTATGTTTTCGTCTAGCCCGTAGGTAAGTAGGCAAATAGGTATGTTGTTACAGGGAGCGCGTAGAACAGTTTGAGCTTAGTGGTGGCTACGAGAATCTAGAAGGGAGAAGAAGAAGAGAAAAGGGTGACCCGACAACTCAGCAAGTACACTGGAAGTACTTTCAATCATAAAAGATAACTAATAAACGGTAGAGCTTGACAACGAAGAGGTGAAGCAGTCTAGAAATCCAAACTGGGAGGTGAATGAGTAAGATTTCGAATGCGTTACACCACCCCCCCCTTCTTTGGAGGCACTTTCCTCAGTGCCTGGTTGTACCTGAGTGAATTAGAGGCTAGGTATGGTGGGTGAGGTTGCTACGAGTTACATTCCAGTGGATAGCTGCTGCTGAATGCACATCGGTCTGACTCGAGTGAACCGCATCCCACCTCCGACACTAAAATGTATCGACTAGCTGTTGATATGTTTTTGTCTAGCCTGTAGGTGGGTAGGCAGGTAGGTACGTTGTTGCAGAGGGCGCGTTGAGCAATGTGAGTTTAGTGGTCACGAGAATCTGGAAGGATAAAGACTGAGCTGACGACTCAACAAGTACAATATACCACTGCTGGAAAACTTAAGTAGTTAGGGACCACCCAGCTGATCTGTAGACTTCATCACCTAGATTTAAGTACATCGCTGATGAGCTTTATCCCAAACAAGTAAAAAACCCGTCCAGTGTTTATATTACTCTGATCTAGCTGGTTGGTGAAACTACAGATCAACATAAATGGTTCCCAACTACTCAAGTTACTCAGCAGTAGTAGGATACTTCGCTAATTCACGACACTTGTGTGAGAGATCACATCTGGTAATCTTGACTGCCAGGTTGTTACCAGCAGAAACCCTGTTGACACCACAGTTGGGCAACTGAAGAACTACTCAGCTGCCAACGTGAATGATGAAATTTTTAAATCACTCTGTAGTTATGCAACTCTGTTTAGCTGTCCCATTCACACATCAGAATATGAGTCTTATGAACTTTGAAGCTATCGTCATCACTTTTCAGAGGATGAAAGCACAACATTCAAACCTGTTCATTAATGATACCACCATTGACAAGAATGTTTCTTATATGTCACAGAATGACGGAGGGTTATGTGACTGTAATCGCTAAAAAAATTCATATGATCAGTTATGAGCATCAATTTCCGTAACTATATCAGTCACCTAACTGCTATATCCCTTTACATGAAGATTAATATGCATAGACATCTTACAGAAATAGTTTGCTTAGTGCTGGCTATTAATGAGATCCAGGACGTGCTTTTCGTCCTAACTGCTGCTTGTTAATGGGTGATGGTATCCCTACTGAGGTTATCATCGCTTAAAATGCCCGAAAGTTATCCACTAGACTATTGAGTCATGACGGCCGCCTCATTTCTGTACAACAGGTTAAAGTTATTTATTAATACTTATAATACTCCGTTGATTATTACACTAGACGAAATTGATCAGTCTGTATTGTAAATCGGCTCCAGTGAGGATGCTTCGATATTTCCTGAGGATCCATTGTGTCATAATTTGATTGGTGGCGGTCAGGATTGAAATCTAGAAGGCATGTACATATATGAGTCACTTTTGCTATACAAGGTTAAACGTAACTTCTGTGTGTACACTTCTACACTAATTCTATGAAACCTTGATTTCCACACCCATATATGTGGCTTAGGAAAGTCATATGCAAACTGACTAAGCGGTTTCTACGCCTTTAACTGTTTACCAGGCTTAAAACTGGTTGGAAGAAGTAGGAAGGTGATCTGTTTATGATGTGGTTGCATTGGACAATGGACGGTCGTGAAGGGGTTAGCATCTACCGATACACCACCACTTAAGTAGCTTTGGTTGATAGCGAGTTTAGCCCAGAATTGCAACTGACGGTCATCATCCTGTAATTTTATGGTATCTTCTCCGATCCTGTTGTTATTCTCCGACTCCTTGTTTTTTTCGATATCTTCATCAGGTTGATATACTACTTCGTTTGTTCGTGTTCTTTTTCCGCCTAATTTCTGCTTGAAATGAATAGAATAGTCTGCCTGGTGGCTAGCAGAGGAGTCCATGACTCGAATTTCGCCCTATTTAGGACTCGTCAGCTTGATGTACCTGAACATCAGTGAATGATTTTGTTCCCACTGAGACTGAAGCACAGTACCCATCACTTCAAATGCCAAAAGGTTAGCCACTAGGCCACTACGGCAAAAGAGGCAATTCTTGGGCAGAATATTAATTAGAGAATGACATCAAACAACTGGTCATCATTATCTCGATGATGATAACTATTGTCATTTTGACTATCTGAGATAGCAGTGGTTTGGCAGAATATTATTTATACTGGGTGGTGATTGAAGGTGAAATGAAAATTTGGACCACCGGGTTTCTGGACCCCGCAGCTCATTTGGACAGTAAACCCGTTGGTCGCTGGTCCGAATCCGGCCGCGGTTCAGGTGATAACTATGTTGTTTTTTCGCCTTTTGAATGAAATGCTTTAGTGATGATCTATCAACGATATTCTTCATATATTCAATGATTGTGGTGGGCTAGATCATGCAACGAACTGTGAGGAGCGAGAAGATGAACATACACTGGCTGGACAGATAATAAGACCTTAGGTGATTTGGATTTCGTCGATGATGATTTATGTCTAATGTTCTATATCGCACAAACTCGAAGATCTACAGGCGAAAACTAACAAGTTGACAGAAGAGGCAGGTTAGTGAAGACTGGGCTTCAAGTGAATGTAGAGAAGACAGAAGTGATGAAGACATCCAACAAAGAAGAAGAAGAAGAAGAAGAAGCACCAATCACCGTGAATGGGAGAAATCTGAAGGAAGTAGTCTCTTACACCTGTGTACCTAGGCAGCATCCTTTCAACTACAGGCGGCGACGGCAGAGATAAGGATGTCAGAGCCAGGATCGGAGAGACAGCAAGACAGGCCTTCATTAATCCGAAATCAGTGTGGAGATCTACTGCATTCAGCACAAAGAACAAGATCCGGATTTTCAACACTAATGTCAAGTGAGTGCTGCCAAATGGTTCAGAAACTTGGCGCGTCACGAAGAACACTTCCAACAAACTACAGACATTCACCAACAGCTTCCGCCTACACCCACTCGATACTGACACTAAAGATCAGATGGCCAGAATAATAAGAATAAGCAACAAGGGACTCTGGGGATGAACCAACGAAGCAAGAACCTATCACCCAATAAATATGCAGAAGGAAGTGGAGATGGATTCGATTGGGCATACACTGAGAAGGCCCATTGGGGATATCACGCGTCAGGCCAGGCCGTCAAGTGGAAACTAAGGGGGAAATGAAGAGTTGGGCGTCGGTGCCGAGGGTGACATGGAGGAGATCATGTGAGGACTAAATGAAAGCTTGTGGGTAGTGGTGGAGCGGGGTTTAAAAGACTGCAGAGAAGAGAGTGAAATGGCGACATGCTACTGAAGTCCTGTGTTCCACCAGGAACTCAAGGGAAAAATAATCATGATAAAAATCACTACATACTTCTGTAGAAGATTACGCTTACTTCATGATTTTATATTGTAACAAATGACGACTACACTGAAAAAGATTGTTTTGCAATTTTATTGACTAAGAATACGTTTGACCTAAAACTGTATAATATGTTGATTTTAAAGTGTGTGCCTGTCTGTGTATGTATGTATGTGTGCGCTCACGCGTCAGATTGATGAGTTTACCTATCTCTATACTCACTTAGCGTGTATAAAATAGTTCATAATTCACCAAGAATCAACCAGTGTCATATTTCTGTTATTCTTATTATTATTTCTTTGATAACTGTTTTAAGTGGAATTAAAAAGGTGGGATTTTTGAATTTCCGCCTTCTCTGATTCATGTTGTGATTTAAACACAATAATGAATTGAATATAGGTCATTAAATCATGAGTTGAAATCATTCAACCTGAATTATCACTTTAATGTTTTGAATTCGTATAAATTTTTGATGTAGAAAATAATTGAAATGTACACAATAGGTGGTATTTTGCTTCATTTTATGAAACAAATTTACTATACGCTACAATTTTTGTTTTAATGAAATAGTATGTTCAATGGGTTTAATATGAATTGCTTCCACGTGATTTATACGAAAGGCGCTTTCTTTGATATTTAAGTGGAGAAATACCAAACAAAGTTGTCATTTGTAATGAATGAAACCACATTTTATGTAAAATATGTTGATGATAACTTCGTTGTGTATAACACTATAAATTATGCGAATAGTCTATTACAACCGTTGAACATTAGTTATCCACTTCACTTCTTGAATCTGAATATTGTTATTATTATTTGTCCCTTGAGTATCTAAAAGAAAAATACGGTTTCAGTAGCACGTCACCATCTCACTCCATTCTCTACAGTCTTTTCAATCTGGCTCCACCGCTGCTCACAACCTTTCATTTCTTCCTCACATCATCGCCTCCATGTCACCCTCGAACTCACAACTCGTCGTTTCCCATCCAGGTTCCAATCGACGGTCTGGCCTGATGTATGATGCCCCCGAATGATCTTCTCAGTGTATCTCCAATCCAATCCAATCCATCTCCACTTTTTTTCTGCATATTTGTTGGGTGATGGGTTCTTGGTTGGTTCGTTGCTAGGTCAGAGTTCGTTGTTGCTTATTCTTTCTTGCAATCTGATCTTCAGTGTCGAATTTGAATATTACGCTGTAAGAATTACATTAGCCAATAAGTCAGTCGCAACAACTTTTACCTAATTAGTTTTAAACCACGATTGGTCGAATCGCTTTACAACAGATACAGAAATTTATGTTTCATGAACAAACTAAAAGATTACGAAACGATTGAGCAGTATCTTCAAAAACACTGTTGATCTCACAGATTTAAAAGAAATTGTATTAGTGAACTCCTTACTACGCTTAAGGATTGGTACTTAAGAGTAATCAGATCGCAAATAGAATTAATGAAAGTTAGAAACTGTACATAATATCTTATTCCCTACAAAGAGATTATCATCTGTTTTTGAGACAAAACTTTCAGTAATGCAAACTAAGGTAGATAAATGCCTATCAACTATCACATTCAATTACACTTATTACACCAATTTACATGAAGGAGTAAATGCAGGTACATGGTGAAGAGAGATACTGAAGGTATTCCGAGGAATCTGAGCTTGAAAGCATCAAATAGTATCACTAACAACCCTATTTCAATATCCTACATAATGTGTGATAGGTAGCGGGAAAAAGATAGCCAACAGAGAGATGGTTTTCAGATCATGATTTATACATGTACCCACATGATAACCTGATTGGACAAATCTGAAGTCACATAAACAATCGGACTGGTTTATTCATGGCTTCATTTCCTTACGGTTTTATATATATATATATTATATATATATATATATATATATATATATATATATATATATATATATATACCACGTACTTGTCTAATAAGATTGTTGTTCTTACAGTTACAGACCGTCTTTTGTCTTCTGACATCTTCGTGGCTTAGTGAAGCAGAAGGAACTGAGGGAGGTCAGTTGTAACAGTATCCGGTTGAGGTGTCAATTAAGTCTCAGTATCATTATACCCACGCCCTACTGATTTCTGCCACCTTGACGTGGTTGTCGGGCTTGCATATCACAATGACCCAACGAGTTATCCTGGTGGAACACTTTTTCCTTGGGGGCCGGACCATGCCAGAAAGGTCTGTTGGTTAATGGTTAGAGGAAAAGCAGTTACCGTCGTGGTGTAAATTACTACTCTATGATGGGGGTCTGAGGACGAAGTCATACTGCTGCTAGCTGGATGGAGTGTGACGGCACTAAGGTGTTTCCCTTGGATGACCAGCAAAAGGTCGCCTCTGCGCTATCCAACTGAACGGCACAGTGAGAACTAAAGAGAATAGTGAGACCCGCCCTTGTCTCTTTGTAATCTCTGCTTTCGCACCCAACGACTGTAGTTCGGATGAAGTGAAGGACGAGTTCTACCGTAAACTGTCCAGCCTCTTCTCGAAAGCCAAGCGTTCGGACGTGGTGGTTGTTGCAGGTGACTTCAATGCACAGGTGGGTAGACTGAGTGAGGCAGAAAGGCACTTAGGTGGCACTTTTGGAGTGCCGAATGAGCGTACAGATAACGGTTATCACTTACTACAACTGTGCTCAGATAACCGCCTACTTTTAGCTAGCACAAATTTCAGACATAAGAAAGACACTGTCTGACGTGGCGTCCACCCAGCTCAGCTCAGCTATGGATACAGATATACCCCATTGCTATTAGGCATTGCTGCAGAGGATCGGTGTAAAACTGCCGCTAAATCTCGAGTAACTGTTTGGATAGTGATCACGCGTTGGTCTGAGCGCGTACATGCCTGATGATGATGATGATGATGATGATGATGATGATGATGATGATGATGATGATGATGATGATGATGAGATGATGATGATGATGATGATGATGATGATGATGATGATGATGATGATGATGATGATGATGATGATGATGATGATGATGATGATGATGATGATGATGATGATGATGATGATGATGATGATGATGATGATGATGATGATGATGATGATGATGATGATGATGATGATGATGATGATGATGATGATGATGATGATGATGATGATGATGATGATGATGATGATGATGATGATGATGATGATGATGATGATGATGATGATGATGATGATGATGATGATGATGATGATGATGATGATGATGATGATGATGATGATGATGATGATGATGATGATGATGATGATGATGATGATGATGATATCCATGCTCGTAATCCCGTTCGGCTACAGAAATGTGGTCACTGAAAATGAATTCAAAATATATTATTAAAATGCTATTCGACATTACTTTCCTTTGCAGTGGCTATTTCATTCAGAGGGTTGAAAACTGATCTCTGTATTCAGAATTAGTGCTTGACTTTCCACCATCTTGTTAACAAAACAATCAACTCAGAATTTTCAATTTCATTTCATCTCTTAATTCTGATTGTAAATTGGGTTTGACTGAATTTTCGTATTCCGACCTACTCATGCTCTTCTTCATTTATTTCCTAAGTTATGTAATCAATGTTCATCAACATTCTGAAACTCTTAATTCACTTCATCATGAGCAAAAGTTGACAATGAAATATCTTTACGACTCTTCTGTCTCACAATAATGTCTGTTCAACAAATTAATGGCTGTTTCATCGCCAACTCAATGCCTAGTTTTCAAATATTTTAAGATTTATATTATTGCTTGCTAGGTTTGAGGCTTAGTGAAAGCAACATCACTCATTGGGGTGCAAGTACATCCAGCTGATGAGTCTTAAATTGGACGAAACGTAAGTCCAATATTTTACTGCTAATCACTATCAAGCATCACTATGTTGATACTTACTTTAAATGAAATTTTCGACTTTACCATCTTGCACCATCTGCTGCACTCAGCATAAAGAACAAGATCCAGATTTTCAACACTAATTCAGTCAAGTAAGTCAGTGCTTCTATACGACGGTTGAGAGACTTGGCGCATTACGAAATGCATCTCGGACAAACTACAGACATACATCTTATCAACAACCGCCGCCTACGCTCATTCGATACTGAAGATCGATCAGATAACCAGAATAATAAGAATAAGCAACAGGGAACTCATTGTGGTAACTAGCTAACCAACAACGTATCCCCCAACAAATGTACAGAAAAAAGTGGAGATGGATTGGATTGGATTGGAGATACACTGAGAAGATCATTCGGGGGCATCATACATCAGGCCAGACCGTCGATTGGAACCTGGATGGGAAACGACGAGTTGTGAGTTCGAGGGTGACATGGAGGCGATGATGTGAGGAAGAAATGAAAGGTTGTGAGCAGCGGTGGAGCCAGATTGAAAAGACTGTAGAGAATGGAGTGAGATGGTGACGTGCTACTGAAACCGTATTTTTCTTTTAGATACTCAAGGGACAAATAGTAATGATAATAATGTTAATAATAATAATAGAGATGAAATTTACAGGTTATGGATAAAACGAACCAAAGATTAACAGTGCAGTGTTACAATCGGAGTTTTATATCTGTCACACATTATAGAGGATTGTTTCAACAATTGTAGGTTTTGTGCGTGTGTATATATGTATTGATATACACATCAATATTGACCTGAAGTCTATCTGACGCTCTTCAACTTTGCTAGAATATTCTATACCCCTATATGTATCCCGCTAAAGATGTTACACGGCTCTCCAAAATACTTGCTCATAGAGTTTAAGGTGGTGATTATTTCGGATTAATGAAGGCTTGTCTTGCTGTCTTTCCGATCCTGGCTCTGACGTCCTCATCTCTGCCGTCGCCACCTGTAGTTGAAAGGGTGCTGCCTAGGTACACAGGTGAAAGAGACTACTTCCTTCAGATTTCTCCCATTCATGGTGATTGGTGCTTCTTCTTCTTCTTCTTCTTCTCCTTCTTCCTCTTTGTTGGATATCTTCATCACTTCTGTCTTCTCTACATTCACTTGAAGTCCAGTCTTCACTAACCTGCCTCTTCTGTCAACTTGTTAGTTTTCGCCTGTAGATCTTCGAGTTTGTGCTACATTAAACACAAATCACCGGAGAGATCCAAATCATCTAGGGTCTTATCATCTGTCCAGCCAGTGTATGTTCATCTTCTCGCTACTCACTGTTTGTTACATGATCCAGTCCAGTCCAGTCCCGTCCAGTCAACCACAATCAGAAAGATCAACGGTGATAGTAGGTGGCAACCTCGTCTTACTCCTGCCTGTCTTCACTTCGAAGGCGTCACTGAGCTTTCCATTGTGAATCACTCGGCATATAGCATCATCATCTTCATATAGCTGTTGAATGAAGTTAGTGAAGGTTTGTGGCACTAAAATCGTAGTGTTGAAGCAGCTGCCACCTCTATCATCTCTACGTTGACTGAACTGTCACCTTGCATTCTGTATTGTTCTTTACTCATTAAGATTCGCAGACTGAGTTAATGAACTGTCATAATGTTTAAGATGTGGACAAGACCTTGAAATTTCTTCAGTCCTATGACTCTTGTCTTATAGGCGGCTATGATGTAGAGAATGTATCAAGCATAATCTATTTTGGCTAATGTTTTCCTTCTGATATTTCTTAGTCCCCTCATATATTACTGATTTCCAGAAGAATCCTGCACTTGAACTTTTATTCTAAGAAACTCAGACTGTCTGGCATAACTCAATCTCTACCTTTGTCTTTCAATCATCCCTATGTTTTGCTGATAACTGTACACTGCTTAAGAGTCTCATACATGAAAGAAATGGCTGTCTACTTCTCCTAGGTTTTCAACAGTTCCCATATTGATGTCAGTTTATGATGAACAGGAAAGTGATTCATTCATATTCACATAGTCATGTAAGTCATTTTCTAGGAGAAGGATTATTTAGAAGTAGGATTCATCATGGACTGATATCAGTTGGGGAACCATTGAAAATCTGGGAGCACTAGACAGCTGATGTCAGTCCATGATGAATCCTACTTCTAAAATCATAAAAATCCCCATTCATCTCAAAAATACATTACATGTATTATTATTATTATTTCCATTATTACCATTATTTCATATGCAAGTTATGACACTTTATCTTCATCACTTGTAACTAACTAGATACAAAACTACCAATGACGTAACATTTTAAACAAGTCATCATAATTTCTTGACAGCTTTTTCTTTTTTATCTCATAAATGTTACACGGATGTTCCTGCTTTAAGTGTAGTAACATCTATTATTGAAATCTAATGATAAGAAATATACTTCTGGTGAAGACATCATACTATATACTACTTAAATACATTTTTATCACCAACCCACACTTACTTCATTATAAACACTAATGAAACCTGTTACTTGATGTATTGTTGATGATGATGGGAACTATCGATTCAATTCTATCCTCCTTGCTTAATCAACTATTCCAAGAAATTTGAGGGATTTCTGGGGATTTAGAGATATTTCAGATTGGTATTCATCGTAGACTAACATCAGTTGGAGGAACATTGGAAACCTGGGAGCACTGGACAGCTGTTTCATCCCGTTATGGGAGTCCTCAACTAATGCCCGTTGTACAAGAAATGGCTGTCGTGCCTCCGGGCCATAGTGAATAACGCCTTGGCGTCAGTATGGGAGTCCTCATCAGTGCACACTCATGACCCCGACACAGATCGAACCCGAGACCTTCAGCCTTCTCAGCGAGCACGTTACCAGTGAGTCACTAATTTAAAATCCAATAGTCCGCATTTTCCTACTTTTGTCAGCTCACGTCAGAGCGCGAAATATCGACCACTGAATTCCATCCCGGTGGCTCAATGGTAACGAGCTTCCCATTAAAACTAAAGGTCTTGGGTTCGATCTTTGTCGCGTTCTTGGATCCATACCACTGAGGACTTCCATTCTGGGGCGAAACAACTGTTCATTACTCCAAGGTTTTCTAAATGATATCAATCCATCTAGAACTTGCGTTTCGTCCTGATTGGGGCTCGTCGGTCAGACGAACATGCACCCCAGTGTGGAGTGTTGTTCCCACTGAGACTTGAACCACGTACCCATTGCTTCTGACGCCAAGGCGTTATTCACTATGGCCCAGAGGCACGACAGCCATTTCTTGTACAACGGGTATTAGTTGTAACTATTTGTTGATATACTTGTAATTCTGCATTGCTTTTTACTGAATCGAATTGTTCGACCTCTGTTGGAACAGGGGCTCCTATAAGGATGCCTCGATATTGTCTGAATGTTAACTATGCTAATTCCTTTGGTTGTGTCTAGCAGAAGAATCCAGAACGCCCGTCTTGTCCTGTTTGGGACTCCTCAGATGGCATAGTGGATAACGCCTTAGCGTTTGAAGCTATGGGTATGAGGTCCAAGTCTCAGTGGGAACAACATCACTCCGTACTGGGTGGACGAAACGGGCGTCCTGGATTCTTCTGCTAGCCACAACCAACGAAATTACCATCATTAAAATCCGGATAATATCGAGACATCCTTATAGGAGCCCATATGCCAAGAGAGGTCGAACAATTCGATCCAGTAAACAGCAACGGAGAATTACAAGTATATCAATAAGTAGTAATGATGTCAATCCATGTTGAAAATTATCATCAGCCTAATTATTAATTCTGTTCTGAGCTCAACCAATCATATTTTAAACTGGATTCCCTTCTCTCTCACCCCTTTATATGTATGATTTGTAAACCTTTTGTAATTGTACATCCATTGGTTGAAAGAAAACCTACCGTCAAAAAAGCAGAAAAGAGAGAAGGGGGTAGAGAGACAATATAACAAAGAACAGTAATAAATTACTTCTTTCAACCCTGATGATAAACAAAATATGCCGCTTTAATAGTCATAATACATTACTTCAAGATGTTTGGGATCCTATTCATAATATCTAGATTGATGCTTTCCATTTTGAATAATTTCTTTTTCCAAGCTGGATACCGATTCCATGGAATAACCTTTTAATTGTACAAAAAAGATCAAGAAATCATTAAATAGCTGATAACCGTGTTATCAATTACACTATGAATGGCTTCATGTTTAACAATCAGTACAATTTGGATGAACAAAGTGGTATGAAAGAGTTTCCGTTTACGATCACTCAAGTAAGTTATTTTAACGAGAAACTGTGTTCACCTTTACCCTCCCCCCTGCTATCCATTTGTCCTGTTAAATATAACCTTATCATTTTTGACTATCTGAGACACCCTTGATTTGGCAGACTAGCATTGTTACTGGGTGATGATTGAAGGTGAAATGAAAATTTGGACAGAGACCGGATTTCAACCGGCGACTGTCAGGTTTCCGGCCCGATGCTCTACCAACTGAGCTAAGGTCCAGATTTTTATTTCACTCCAATCACTAAGGATTGCTTTGCCCAACTACCATGTGAATTCATGACGTGTTACTACCGCTTGATTGTACTCATACTGGCTACCCAGTCAGAACTATACAACTTTGATTGCATTGTGCATTGGTTCACAACGATATAGAGTATTAAGATCAAAGATGATGGGACTCTACTACTTCAAACTAGGGTAGGGGATTTTTGAAACCCTACTCCATTTATCAGTGCGAACACTTACTCAATTGTTTATACATTTGGAATTTGATTACGGTGCTGTATTTAATTGAGTCTATTAAACCATGGCTATCTGAAATCGTCGAACTGATTATCACTATGCCACTACTCCTCTTCTCTAATTGAAGTAAGTTGAGGTGAGAATTGGGGTGAGAATTCCCGATAGTAACGCTTCATGAATTGACATAGCAGTTGGGTAAAACCTTTGGTGATTGAAGCGAATTCAAAACTGGATGGGAAGTCGGATCTCGTAGCTCACTTGTTAACCCGGAAGCAGCTGGTTTGAATCATGCCCCGCGCTAGAATTTCAATCATCACCCGGTATGAATATAAGTTTACCAAAGCACAGTTATCTGAGATAGTTAAACTGATAGTTGTTTAATCAGTTTTTAGCTAAAATACGAATGAATTGGTTTATTTTAAAAGCTTTACCAATTACCTTGAAAGTGATGATTGGCTAGAAGAAAATAAACCTCTAAAAACAAACACTGCTGATCTCCGTCATGGTGTCGTCTAAGCTTAATATGACACTCTAGACTAAAAAACATCACAATAAATGAAGAGAATAATTGAAATTACACTCAAAATTACTCATTTCATACACTGTTTGAACGGAATAATAACCACTAACGTCATTTATACTACATAGAGCTGACATGGCAACATGCCGGATACCAGTAGTACTATAAACAAATAACCAACCTGAAGTTTATGATAAGCGTAGACAGAACCCCTGTTTATCATGTAATAAATTTTGTTGCTTGTTACAAGGCTCACTGAGAGGCGAGTACATCCAGCTGACGAGTCCCAAATAGGACGAAACGTGCATCCTAGATTTAACTCCTATCCACTATCGATCAGTAATATTATAAACCTTCATTTAGAAATTCAGGCTACAAACTAGTTAGAAAGCAGAAATGAAGAGCATTTGTAGTCACCTCATAAACTGTAGGAAATCTGTCAAAACATCAGGCATTTAGATGGATGAATGATTTCAACGCGGAATTGTTTGAAGGAGACAGATAACTGAAAAATAGGATCTCATATATATTATTATTTGTCCCTTGGGTTCCTAGTGGAACATAGGGCTTCAACAGCACGTCGCCATTTCACTCTTTTCTCTGCAGTCTTTTCAACCTGGCTTCACCACTGCCCATAAGCTTTCATTTCTTCCTCACACCTAGCCTAGTTTACTAGCTGGTTCCAAGCCCAGGAAAAGGGGAAGGTTGGGCTTGGGGCTAACGACCCTACCCTGAAAAATCAATCCAGTCACTAAAGAAACTTCTAAGCACAGAGGAAATATAAAAAGCAAAGTTATTCTTCGCTGGAATCGGGGAGACGAAATGACGCCAGTTGTTAAAGGCCTTCGGGAAGCCAACTGGCCGATGTATCTTCTCTTCGCTTCTCTTCTCTCCTCTCCTCTTCTCTTCTCTTCTCTTCTCTCCTCTCCTCTCCTCTTCTCTTCTCTTCTCTCCTCTCCTCTCCTCTTCTCTTCTCTTCTCTTCTCTTCTCTTCTCTCTCTCCCTCTCTCTCTCCCCCCTCTCTCTCTCTCTCTCGATGAAAGCAAAAGTAAGCATAGGGATATGGAATGTCAGCATGATGTTTGAAGCTGGCAATGCTACCTAGATTCCAAAAGAAATGAGGATCTCACATAAATGTGTATCAAGTCAAGTTGTCACACTTCACATCAGTTCATTGAAAAACACAGAACATTGGAAGACTGTTTATTTCTAGGCAACAATGGATCGACCTAGGACAGTAACCACTTTACCTTTCAGTCGATAAGCTCCAATAGGTAACGGAGGAGAGGTAAAGTGCTTGCTAAGGGACCATGGGCTCAATCTCATAAGGGTCGTGGGTAAGTAGTGTGTTAATGATTTCTAACTCTGATGGAAATTGCGTCGAAATTGACTTTTGTATCTTATGATTTTTAATTTACCTTCAAAGTAGAGAATGAATTTATCTCAAAACCATAATTAACCGGTTACAATACAGAAACTAGTCAGATAGATAGACAGACAGAAAAAAAAATCAACATAGAACCTCATACAAAAGTGCATCGGTTCATGTTGCCATACATCATAGCAGCATAGCATACGAAGAACAGATAGATCAAAGTAGATAAAGTAATATGAGCGAATAAACAATCTGAAGGTGAAGATTAATACAACTATACAAGCTTTAGAAGACGTTGAAAAGTGAATAGATCTACACTATTGTGACCAGTTTTTAACGATATCATCAAAAGTTCTTAACCACAGAATCTAGTAGATAAATTTATTTTCCAGACAATTTTATTTTTTAAAAGTAACATTATCGTACTTGAATGTTATGGTTAGTTGTATAGACAAGCTGTTTACTCTTCAGTAACTGATGTCTCAGAGTTGGATACTTCATTTACTGACAATAAATGTTCATTTGATTCCTACTCTAGAATCATGAATATAATCCATGTACTACAGAAGTAAGACAGACAAATAATCCTTCTGTATTCTTGTGATGAATGGGGATTTTTTATTATTTTAGAAGTAGGATTCATCATGGACTGACATCACTTGGGGAACCATTGAAAATCTGGAAGCACCAGACAACTGATGTCAGTTCATGATGAATCCTACTTCTAAAAAAATAAAAAAAATCCCCAT